GAGCTGAGCTTGGGCCAGCTTAGGGCCGAGGGAATGGGCTGAGTGGAACTAGGCCGGGGCATGGAGCTGAGCTGGACCGGCCCAGGGTCTTGGGAAGGGGCTGAGCTGAGCTGAGCCGTGCCAGGGCCGGAGGAAGGAGCTGAGCTGGACAGGGCCAGCGCCGAGGGGAGGGGCTGAGCTGGACAGGGCCAGCGCCGAGGGAAGGAGCTGAGCTGGACAGGGCCAGCGCCGAGGGAAGGGGCTGAGCTGAGTAGGACCAAGGCTGGGGGAAGGGGCTGAGTTGGGCCGAGGGAAGGGCAAAGGTTGGGGGTGGCCGGGCTAAGTTTGGGCAAAGCGAAAGGGAGATCCGTGTCTGGTGTGTGTTGGGAAGGGCAGGCTTGGGAGGATGTGCCGGCCTGGAGGTGGAGGAGAGGCTGAGTTAGGGTTGGGCTGGGCTGGGAGGAGGGGGCCTAGTGGGCCTGGGGAGTTGCGGAGCTGCTGTCGGGAGGGGAAGGCCTGTGCGGAGGTGGGTGAAGGACAGTCAGGTCTGGAGGAAGGAAAGGAGCAGAATGTGGGGGGGAGGAGGAGGTGTCTCCACCTTGAGAGTGGAGCCGAGGGGGAGCAGAGCCAGAAGGGCAGGAGACAGAAGCAGGGCAGGGGCAGAGGGAAAACTGTGCCTGAAGGGCTGAGGGAAAGAGAATTGGAGGAAGAGGAAGGGAGAATGAGGTAGGAGGTAGTGTCTGCAGCAAAAGGAAAACCTTCACATGAACTTATTTCCCCCTTTGCTCTGACTCTGGCAGCTGCTGGTCTGTGCTGGAGCAGCTGCTCATCTGCAAGTCCCAGGCGCAGCCAGGACTGTGGTTTGCATGGGTGGATCTGCCTCTGGTTTGGGGCAGGGTCAGCACTGCAAACTGCAGGTCGTTGTGTTGAAACCGCAGCTCAGGTGCTGGCATTGGCAGCTGCGGACACCAGGAAGATTTGTCCCCGTTTCATTTCAGGGTGTGAGGTTGGACTCGAGGTGCTGCAGCAAGGGCAGATCATAAACTGCGCACACACACTGAATAATCGCTCATTTTTTTTAATCAAGTAGTTGTCATTTTTTTTACAGTCTGATGCAGAACAGGTGCTGTGAGCTTCCTTATATGCTGCCTGCCCAAACAAATGGGGCAATTAAAGCATTTTGGTGTTAAAAGTTCACTGTGTAGAGTGAACAAAAGGCTGTAAATACAGTCGTGTTAATAAACCCACAGTGGTGTGACCTGGTCTCTTTTGTGCCTGTGTTGCCTGACATTCCCGTGTTCTTACACCCTTCTCTCTCAGGCCATAAGGGATACCTTGAAATCTTTAGGAAACTTCTTTCCCCACTTTTTTTTTCTTTTTTTTTACTTTTTTTTTTTTTTTTTTTTTTTTTTTTTTTTTTTCACAACAGATGACAGAGTATTCCCAGTCCTAGTTTGTGCAAGTGCTGAAGCTGAAATATGAGATGCTCACTGCAGTGCTCAGTCTTTCCCAAGAAGGACCGGGGGAGTGTCTTGGGTTTTTAGTAAGGCTGCGTGGGTGTGCATATTAAACTGAAATTCTGCTGTGCTTGGCTACCTCGGGGACTAGTTATAATCACCGGGCAAATATGCTGTGTGTAGGAGAAATACTTAATTTCATGAAATTCATTGCATTGTGCTGGATGCTTGATTGTGATTGGGAAATATCAGTCAGTGGAAGCAGAAGGCAGAGCTTGGCAGGGGCGGCGGATGGCTTTAAACAAAACCCTCCTCGCTGCTCAGGGGCTGCGATGCTCCGAGGAGAGGTTCTTGGGGAAATCAGGCGGAGGTGGAGGGCTGGGGCTGCCCAGCTTTCTGGGGTTTGACAGCACACCTGGAAAACGTAAACGCTGTGAGCGATCTGTTACATGAAATAAAACCTAAAAAAGTCGGGGGGGGGTGGGAGTTGCTAATCTCTCGAGCTGAAGGAAAAGGAGCGATTTTGTTTCAGAACGTGAACAACAAACCTGCCAGAGCAGTCACGGTCGCCAAGGGAAAAACATTTGGCTAAGGCAGAGCATTTGTAAAGCTGCTACCGAAGGAAGTGTAATAAGAAACGTTTAGAAAGCCACTGCCTCGGTGATTTTCCAGGATAGCCTCACTAGCAGTAAAGCAGTTTGTAGCTTTGCAGAGCTTGGAAGACTGTTCAGATCACACTGGATGCAACTGTTTGTACCCCAAAAAAGCTCCGGTTACGGTATTAGATGGCAAATGCGAGATGGGCTCCCCCTGGATCATAGTCTTTGCCAGCCTAAAACCCCAGGGCTCTGTAACACGTGTCCTTTCCCTCTGTGAACCACCTTGCTCTGCCCTGACCCAGCTCCAGAGACCCAAACACCCAGAACCCCCTTTCCCAGGGTGTAGGAGTGGTGTTGGGAGCTTGTGATCAGCCCCCCCTCCCACCGCC